AGGGGCTGAGGAGGGATGCGAGGGAGCACCCCAAAAACCAGAACATCCCTTTCCCCTGCCCTGCCCTCTCAGAGCAAGCCCAGCAGCAGTACCTGTAGCCAGGATTGTCCTGCAATCCTCCACTGTCACCCCGGTGAAGGTGGTGTCTTTCAGGCGTGGGTACTTCCCAGGGGAGCAGCAAAAGGAGGGAGAGAGACAAAGAAGTCACTTGTAGTGCATGGAAAAGGCACAAATGTCACCAGCTGGCTCAGTCTGAGAGTGCTTTCAGCTGGGATTCTGTTCATCCACACCAAGAATCAGGCCACAGCTGCCCTGGGTGCCCACAGGCACGGCTGCATCATCCACCCCTCAGCTGTCCCTGAGGCATTCCCAGCAATGCTGCCATTCCCAGCAATGCTGCCATTCCCAGCAATGCTGCCATTCCCAGCAATGCTGCAGCACGTGGGGGCTCCCCCCCAGAGAGAGGGGCAGAGGCCAGTGCCTCAACTCTCACCTTGTTTTTGTAGAAGTTGGTGTGGATCCTGACCAAACTCTCGTACATTTGGTCACAGGCCTCGGGGTCAGGGATCTGCAGGGGACACAAGTGTCACACAAGTCTGGTTTTGCACCTCCACAGCAAAATGCCTCCTTGTTCCAAGGGACAATGGCCATGGGGGAGCAGCTCAGAATTCCCAGTGCACTGCTGGATACTGTCCATCTGCTGTCCTGCTCCAGGCTTTTCCCCTCCATCTCCCACCAGCTCAGCCTCCAGGAATAACCACACCTGGGATTTCCAGAATGGATCTGAAACTCTGCCCCAACAAGATCTGACAGTGAATACACAGCTCCAGAGAACGTTACTGGCTGGTGCTGTGAAATCTGTGGCCCTTCCTGCTGTGAGGCCACTTCTGTCACCTGCCTCATTGTAGGGAATCACCCAGGACAAGGTGCCAGGACTCCCTATAGGGGGCTATAAATAACCTGTAATTGATTAAGGAAATCAGCACAAATGGCAGGGAACAGCTTGAAGGGTAACTGGATTTCTATTTCAGCTGGAAGATCCGGCTCACCCGGGTGTCTCTGCCTGGCACAGCCCTTGCTCAGCTGCTTTTCCACTCTACAATGTTTTCCCTGTTGGTTTTTTATTGTGGTAAAATGAGCCCAGCTCACCCCAGAACTCAGTGTTGGTCCATGAATGGTTAAAATAAGAGTAAAAATAATACAAAAGGTGTCAGGATGAAGTAGAAAGAGTAAGGAAAAGGTTTCTGCAGGAGAGAGGACACAGGGACAGCCACATCCCCCTGCAGGTGAACCCCAAGGCTCCAGCAGATCCAGCCATTAAAAGGGTGGCACAAACAGCATCTCTCTCCTGGAAATCCAGCAAATCTCATTTCATTAGATGGCTAAAGAAGCCCTGTGGCTCTAGTTCCCCTCTTAGAAGCTCCTCCTGCCAGCACATTCAGCCTCTCCACACACAAATTGCCACCGCTGCTGCAGGCATCAATTCAGATTTCCAGGATCAGTGGCAGCTTTGGGATCTTGGAGCCAACTGGTGCAACACATTAAGCTGTCCTGAGCATATGGAAAAGCAATAAAACCCTTCCCAAAATGCCTGCTGCAAACTATTCTGGTCACCAGTACAGGATTAGGAGCCTCTAATGGCCCCTTGTGGTCTAAAGTGCATCTCTGGAACAATGTTTTTATGCTAAGAAAGGGCACATTTGCATTCTGCAGCAACACCTCCGCGCCTGGGAAGGTCTGCAGCCAAGTCAGGCAGCAGATTCCCTAATTTATTTCAGCAGCAAAGCCTAAACTCCAAGAGAATTACAGCTGGAGGCGGAATTCAATTGTACAACCGCTGCATTCCATCAGTGTCAGGCAGTGCTGCAGCATCCCATCATCCCAGCCTCGAGGTAAGGACATCACAGGAATTAACTGGATTCCAGCAGGGCTGACAAATTCCCAAAGCCCTGTACCCCACTCCCACAACCACAGGAACGGGCTTCTCCAAAGAACATGGTGTAAAGGGTGCAAGAACTGGGTATAAACCCTTGGCAAGGGCACCAACCAGGTGTCTTGGGTCCAAACTGTCCTAGTCAGAAATTGTCCTGGGCACGCACCAGGTGTCCTGGGTACAAATTGTCCCGGTCAGAAATTGTCCTGGGCACGCACTAGGTGTTCTAGGTACAAATTGTCCTGGGCACAAACCATTTATCCTGAGCACTAACCAGGTGTCCTAATCACAAAACCCAGGTGTCCCAGTTACAAAACTCAGTGTCTCGGGTACAAACCCGGTGTCCCGGCTACCAATCATTTGTCCCAGGTACAGCCCAGGTGTCCCGGGCGCAGTTTGCCCATGGAGGCACAAGCCCGTGGGCGGTATTCCAAAGCCTTCCCGGGATGTGCGGTCCAAATTCTGCCGAGCCCGGCCCGGGAGCAGCCGGACTCCATCACCCCTGGAGCTCCCGTTCCCTTCCAGCTCTAATATCCCACGAAGCCCCGAGCACAGCCCCCTACAGCCCAGCGAGCCCCAGGGCAGAACCGCGTGTGAGCCCCGAACCCCGCGCTCCGCCCCGGCCCCTCAGAGCCCCCGCCGGGCCGCTCCCCGCGCCCTCCCAGGCCGGCGCCGCGGCGGTGCCGCCCTCCCGCCCCTCACCGGCGTGTTCTCGCCCTCGCGGAAGGCCTGCGCCACCTTCTGCCGCAGGAAGGAGCCCAGGTCCCGCTGCTGCTTGGTCTCCTCCACCGGCCATTCCTCGCAGAGCCGCAGGAAGCGCCGGTACCGGCTGGCGGCCATGGCGCCGGGTCACGTGCGCCGGGGGTCACGTGGCGCCGCCGCCGGGTCACGTGCGGGCGCGGCTGGGCGGGAACGCCTGAGGGGGGAGAATCGTGAGGGGGGCGTCGGGTCCCAGCGTGCGCCCGGTGCCCGCCTTGTGGGCAGCCCGGAGCGCTGGGAGCCGCACCTCCAGCCGTGAGGGCTCCAACACCGCCCCGCGCAGCCCCTTCCAAAGCCTCACCGCCCTTTCAGTGAGGAAATTCCAACCTGAGCCTCCCCTGGCTCAGCTTGAGGGCGTTTTGCCTCGTCAAGTCCCTTGGGAGCAGAGCACGACCCCCTCCGGCTGTCCCTTCCTGTCAGGGAGTTGTGCAGAGACAGAAGGTTCCCCCTTGATCCTCCTTTTCTCCGGGCTGAGCCCCTTTCCCAGCTCCCTCAGCCTCCGCTGGGGCTCCAGACCCTTCCCAGCTCCCTCAGCCTCCGCTGGGGCTCCAAACCCTTCTCAGCTCCCTCAGACACTCCTCACAGGATTTACGATGGTTTGAGTTGAAGGAATCCTAAATTCCATCTCATCCCACCCCCTGCCATGGCAGGGACACCTTCCACTATCCCAGGTTGCTCCAAGCCCCGTCCAACCTGGCCTTGGACACTGCCAGGGATGGGGCAGCCACACTGTGCAGGTGTATGAGAGGTGAAAAAGGAGGAAACATGGAGATTTTTCTAATTATTCAGCTAACAAGTTGTTTTGTGTGCAGCAATGAAGAGTGAGGGGCTGCCCAATGAGCCGTCCTGGCTGTGGTGTCACACCCAGACTCCTCTCATCCATCCCATGTCCTGCTGTGCACCCTGAGAATGCTCAGGTGGCTCCGTACAAACTCATCCACAAAGCCACAAAGTCTTATCACAGACTTCTGCTGTGAGCCAGGACAATCTGTGGCTCGACCCCTATTGAAATTGAGTGTCTGTGGCTTTTTTTTTTACAATTTGTGGTCACGCAATAACCCAACACTGAACAAGAGGCTTCCCAGGTGGACTCCGGGCCAAGCAAAACACACAACTGGGCCAGATGTCTTAAATTTTCCAACTATAAATTGCAGCAGCTCCCCAGCTTTGTGCTGTAAATCCAAGCGAAGTGTCTCCCTTGGGATCTGGTGTTTAAACCCATGGCAATAACAGCTCTCTTAAAAAATGATGGGCTTAAACAAAGGATAAATGTACCTCAAGGATGCTGCAGGAGGAGAAAAAGAGATGGACAGTGGTGGGAGTTACTTCCACGATTTTATTTATATCCCCTCTCCCCAGTAGTGGAGTTCCGTAGCTCTATTCCTTGTGCAAGGACTTCTCCTTCAGATTTCCCACACCATGCAGGAAGGAATTGTGTTTGTTCCATCATGATAATAAAATCTGTCCACAAAAGCTGTAAACATTATTTTTAGAGTCTTTTGTTACTGTCTCCTTCAAACACACACACACACACACACACACATACACACACACACACACACACACACACACAGTATTAGTATCAAAGAATTTCTGGGTGACCTTTGACGTCCAGTCCCTGACTCAATCTCACAGTTTTTTTCTTTTTTTCTTGTTGGTTTGTTTTTTTAAGCAAAAATCCCTTGATGTGAATGTTTTTTGTGGCTGATACCTGACAGAGTCATTGCATTCCCACACCTCCAGCCCCAGTGGAGCCTCCTTCCTAAAAAATCCGTGGAAAATTCCCTGTTATAACCCCACAGGGATGTTAAAGCTTGGTGAGGTGCAGCTCTTGGTCTGAACACATGCACAGAGAATCCCGACCAGGGGCACTGGGAATGTTGGAGGGTGTTTTTCCCTCCCACCTGAGCAGGAGCAGGAAGGGAAGCTCCAAATGGAAGCTCCATCTGTTCATTCCTGCCTCAAACCCCCTCCTCCCGCTCGGCTGCGGGGCGAGCATCTCCTGGTTTATCATTAAGACTCTTCCCAAGTAATGCTTTCTTTGGCTCACAAATAAATCAAGGACAGCAGTAAAACCAGAAAGGAAAATAAATCTTCTGATGGATGGCAGAGAGAGCAGATTCTTCCAGCTCTCTGCTTTCCACGCTTCAGTTCAGTGATGGCACACGGAAAATTTTCAGCACTTCCCGACTGATCCGTGCTCATTCCGTGCCACATCCAGCGGCCGGAGGGTCCCACACAGCCGACCCCAGGAGGGATTTTCAGGGCTATCAGTCATTAGGAAATCCAGGCCGTTTCACAGAAATTCTCACTTCCCTTCCAACAGGCTCTGAAGGATTTTGATGAGGTTCTCCAAGCCAAAAATGTAGCCGTGGTCTGGCCCATCGTAGGGGGTGGGGTTGGGATTGCTCTTGGAGCCTTTGAAGGTGGTGTGGGCAAAGTCTATCATCCTCACATCCACCCTGGAGGGGTTTGTGCCGTGAGTTTTTGGGAAGGGGAGGTGTTGATCCGCACTCTCCTTGTGCTCCTGCCCGTCGTAAATGATGAGGAGGGAGCTGGAGTAGAACCTGTAGGAGCTTTGCTTCCTGATCACCGCCAGCAAGGCCTTGAGGCGCAGGATGATGGGCTCCAGCAGGTCGGTCCTCAGCTGGTTCCCGTTGCACAGGAACTGCCGCAGGGTCTGCCGGAATCCCTCCGGGGAGAGCTTCCTGCCGTAGTATTTGTCTTTGCACAGGAAATGGCCAGTGTCTGCCTGGTAAACCTGCAAGGGGACAGAGGAATAATCCATAAAATCATCCTGGCTTGTGAGGGATTCATTAATGATGCCTCACACGCCCTTATAGCAAGCCCCACCACCACAACCAGCTCTATCCCAAGACCATAACCAACAACACCCCAATTAGCCCAAGCTTCTGGATAGGGATCCGCCGCCAATGACACTGAATAAAGATTTTAGCCTTTATATTTTTCAATTCCTGTGCTGCCAAATTAGTGCCTAACTCAAAACTTCATATAACTACTATGGTAGTTAACACTTTACACTGACACACTTTGGTCAGACAAAACAATTCCTCCAGGCCTGGAAGCCAAGGACACCCTACAGCCTCAGGCCCTGAAAAGTATAAACAAAAATAAATTGGGGAGGAGCAAACTGGGAGTATATGACTTCATTACCTAAAGTTCTAATTGGAGAATTAACCCCTGATATGAAAATAGACCAAACTTATATCTGTCTGAAAATCTTGTGACCCTCTTCCATTTTGGGTGTAGCCTCTGGGAGGCTTTTGACTGCCCAAGGTGTATCTATTATTTTAAAAAATACCTACTTTATTCTCATAACTCTGTCTAGCCTCTGTTCTAGGTAGCCACTCCAAGGATCAATATGACCACTGAAGTTCAACTCTGCAGTTATCAAGATGCCAGAGATCAGAAAAGGACGTGGGTTTTGAGTTTATATATTTTGATTTATATTCTATTCGCATTATCCTTCAGGCAGGGTTTTGAAACCTGCTTGAGAATAGTGAGTGAGGGAAACTTAGTTTGAGTTTCCAGGAGGAAGGATGGGGATTTCCAGCAGGAGAAATTTAGTTCAAAATGAACCCCTGGCTCTCACAGCTCAGTGAAAACACAACTGGGGCAATGTGGTGCTTTTGGGGGTTTTTTGTGCAGCAGCCAAGAGCTGAGCAGGAATCCATGTGTAAAAGCAACTTCTCAGATGGGGTGAAGGGTTCCAGCTGCTCACACTGGTGGCAGTGGCACAGGGGAAAGGTTACCCTACATGTGCCATATTTGAGAGGACATAGAGCTGTATGGCCGTGGGAATCCTTAAAATCAGAGGGTTTCTTCCTAATATCTTGCTAGATATACTTTTCTATAGCTTAGGGAGTTGTTCTATCCAAGGGGTAATACACAGAGCATTGTTCTATTGTCCTTACTTTCAACTTATATAACTTTTCTGCTGACAAATCTTAAGGCTATTGCTCAGTTCTGCTGTTTCTGAGGCCTGCCTTTTGCAGCTTTCCCAAACCTCTCTGCTTTTAAGGATTCCCACAAGTGGCCACTTTTTACAGCCTGTATTTGAGAGAGAAAAGAGAATAAAACTGCTTCGATTCACACCAGCCAAGAACCCCTGGAGATCCCAGCTTGATTCCAAGCGAGGAACCAAGGGGGGAACCAACACCCCGAGGGCATGGAGGCTTTACCTGCATCCCACAGATGCGCACGCCCAGGGATGCCGAGGTGCTCTGCTCGCATTTCTTGATGTGCCGAGCTTTCTTCTCCTCTGAGGCGTCATCCCCGTGCTGCCGAGTGCCCATCTTCAGGTCCAGGATGCAGGGATAGCTGTACTTGGACACCACGTTTTCCAGCAGGAGAAACTCTGAGCGTGACTTAAGGGAAACCCAATGCTTTGAAATTCTAATTGAAAGAGGTCTTAAATCAAAGCAACTGCTGACACTCTCCAGAACAGCTCACAACTGTAATGAGACTTTCTCAGCCAATTTCTCCAAGGTGTCATTGCTATGGGCCTCTCGCTGCCAATTCCAGTTAATTTACTGTACTACAGCCCTACCAATTAAAGCCCCAACAGCTCCATTCTCCAGTGACACCGTAGCCCTGGGCTGTCACTCTGACACCTTCCCTAGGTGCTGAGCTCGCTCCGGTGGGTGGGGGAAGTTGTTAAACTCTATTACCCACATGACTGGTGGGTAATGAAGTGTAATAGGAAAATAAAAGGCGAGGCAGCTGCTAATTCCTGTATAGTTGTGTTTTTAAATGTATGCCAAGGGGATCTTTGACTTCTGCTGAGAACTCTTTATGGGAAATGGGTTTTTTTTCCTTTCTCTTTTTTTTTGTAGAAGATAACAGAGAATATTCCTTATTTTCCCAGAGTCTGTGCAGAGGAGGGAATGCATTCCCCTGCAATAAACCCTACACTGATTCCCAGCTGTTATCAGTGGCCAGGGCTGTGCTGGAGGGGAGGGAGGAGAAAGGATACGATGAAGTTTGTTCTCGTTGTGCTTGGAGGACATGCGGTTCAGGTGCTGCCGGTGACAGTGCAGTCCCCAGGGGTTGTAGCTCTTCCTTTCTGCTTGCTTCCCATTTGCATCCTCCAAAAGGGAATCTGTGTGGTACTGAAGGTCTGTCCTCAAAAGCATCTTCCCAGGGCAGCTAGACAAAGCACACAAAGGGACACGTCAGGTTTATAAGCTCCAGAGGAGAATATTCTCTTCCTTATTTTTTTTTTTTTCTGTAGAGCCTCAAACTTGATAAGGTGGATTTTCAGGGACTCTCAAAGGAACTATATTGATCATACCCAACCTGCAGAGATCCTTTGTTACTCCATAACAGTAATTTTCAGAAAGCCAGCTATTGCTGCCTGCCAATACTTTTCTTTCATTATAATTTAAAGAGTGCTGGCTCCCTTGAAAAGCCATTCACAGCCCCAGCTGCCAGGGATCTCTATTTATCCACCTAATGGGCACAGCTCAGGCAAATGGTCCAACAATGGGAATGATTCCCAATTTGGAAGGGCTGGCTCCAAGGAGGGGAGGGAGGAAAGAGTGATGAGAAGATCTGTTCTCCTTGGGGGGTCATTCCTTGGTCTTGCTCATCCCAACTCCACCACTCCCATCACTCCAAAGGCAGCAGGGATATTCCACCTCCAGTCCTGGGTGGCCCAGGGCTGCTCTGAACCACTTTGGGATGAAGGATATCCTGCAGAAAACCTCTGTGAGGCAGAGGGGCTGGGAGCACTGGGTGCCTTCCTGGGAGAGCTCTGCCCTGGGGTGGGATGGGATGGGATGGGGTGGGATGGGATGGGATGGGATGGGATGGAGTGGGATGGGATGGGATGGGATGGGATGGGATGGGATGGGATGGGATGGGATGGAGTGGGATGGGATGGGATGGGATGGCACTGAAACCCCTCTGTTGCCAGCAAAGGGACATTCCATGCTCAGTGACTGTTCTCCCATGGCCTCTCCTCTCCTGGAGCCTGCTGTGCTCCAATGAATGGGGTTTAGAGCAGAATTTGAGGCAGATATTTGAACAACAACATCCCAGATCCACCTCACTCTGTCCCCACACCAGGGGAGGAGCAGAACCACATACACAGGGCTTGGCTCTGCTGTTCTTCACCTTGGCTGGGTCCTTTAGCCCTAAACCCACAGCTGGACCACCAAACCCATCCCAAACCATCCCAAACCACCCCACCCAAGTGGCAGATGCCAGCCAGGAGGACTGCAGGGACCTTCACCTGTCTTTGAAGGTCTTGGTGACCTGGGTGTGGCTCCACTTGCATTTGTGCCACAAGGTGACAGCGGGGTCCCCTCCGGCGCTGTCCAGGCGGCCGCAGGCATCGGGCTGGCCCAGGCCAGGGCTCGCAATCAGGGTCAGGTTGCCCAGGCTGTCCTTCTTGAGGTGCACAGACACAATGCCTGGACAGAGGGGAAAACAAAGGAGACAGGGATGAGCCCATGGGGTAGCACAGAGGCCTGGCCACCACCTCGGTGTTTTGGTGGCCTTTCACTGATCCCACTCTGATTTCAAGCCCAATAAAGCATCATTAGGCTGTGACCCTGGAAAATACTCTCAGGATTTTCAAGTGTTCCCCCTCTCGAGGCTCAGTTTGAAATCTGCCTCCTCTGAACCCCACACTCCTTTGTGCCCCATCCCTCAGAGCTCTGCTGTGCCCCAGGTACCCAGAAAAGCCCCCCAGTCCAGATCAGGAGCTCCCAGCTTATTTATCACAAGGGATTTAAGTGCTTTTTAAAGGCAGCACAAGACTGGAACCACTTTTCATTGGCAGGAAGCAAAGGGAGGGTTGGGGACAAGGCATTTTCCAAGGACACCCAGCATGCCAACTGCCCCGAGAGCAGGGCAGGGATGTGGCCATGGGCTGGCAGTGCTGCCCACACATTGTCATGGCCATGTCCTTCCCCTAGCACCAAGACCAGCACCCAGATATCCCACGGGGGGGCTGGAGTGTCGCACCTCCTGTTTTTGTGCCCTCCAGGGACCAAGACTGTGCCCGGAGGTTATTTTTTTCCACCCTGAATGCTTAAAACACCATTCTGCATTTGAACATTGCAATTTTCCCTGACTCTGACAGGAATCACAGGGCTCAAATGCCAGCCAGTCCAGCACGGATTTAGCCCAACACGAGCCCATCCTTGGCACGGGGCCGGCTGTCTGCGCGTCTCAAGTGACAGCGCAGGAATGGCCACGGATCGCGCTGCCGCCGGCTCTGACCTTTCTGGGAAGGGCTGATAACGCCAGCCCCGCTCCCGCAGCTCCGCCACGGCTCCGGGGGCGTCCTCAGAGCACAGCTGCACCACGGGAAGTTTAGGTTAAATGTTATTAAAAAAAAAAAAAAATCTTCACTAAATTGGGCACTGCAGTCTTCTGCCCAGGGAGGTGGTGGAGTCACCGTGCCTGGGTGTGTTTAAAAAAGGGTGGATGGGGCACTCAGTGCTGTGGTTTAGGTTAGGTCACAGGTTGGACTTGGTGATCTCAAAGGTCTTTTCCAACCTGGTTCATTCTGTGATTTGGGGCTTGGGGGGCTGCCAGCTCCCAGAGAGGACAGGGACCAGGGACAGGGCAGTGGGACCAGCAAAAGCAGAACTGGAAAGAGCCCAGTTGGGGACATGGGGAGCTGGGCTGGATCCAGCTGTGTCCAGGGCATCCTCACCGGGTCTGCTGGGCATGTGGGGAGATGATCTCAGCAGCTTAACAAACACTCCTGCTCTCCCCAGCAAAGGTGCCAAAGCAAATAAAGGTGCAAAGCCCCTTCTCTGCATTCCAGAAGCGATTCCAGGGAGCAAACACTGGGCAGAGGCTTTGCCTCCTGTGCCTGCCGGGCTCTGCTGCCTCAGGGCTTTCCCCACCTGAACTGTCCCTGCAGCCACCCCTGCTGGACTTGGGTGCCCATCCCTCCCCAGGTCCTGCACCCCAAAACCTTGGGTTTGGATGCTTTTCCCTCACCACAGCCATTCCTGGTCCTTTCTGCTGTACAATCAGCATTATTGTGAACAGGCTGGGTTAAATGGGCTGACTTTACACAGAAATGGGGGGAAAATCTACCCATGCTGCTCTGCCAAGGGAGCTGAGGGGCTGCAAACCTTCATTCAGGGAAAAAGGAATATTTTTAGCCCTCCCAACCCTCTGTGGTGAGCTCAGGGAGTTCCATCTTGCTCAGACTCCAGCATTACCTTTTCCCTGAGTCCTATTCTTAAAAAAATCCATATTTCTGAGAGCAAACAAATCTCCTCTCAGCCTGGATGACTGCTTCACATTTTCAGGGGATGTAGGCATAGAAAAAAAAAAAAAAGCCAACATGTCTTCCCCTAAATCAAAGCCTTTTTCATTTTAAAAAGTCACAGGGAGGCGACCAGAGCCCTCAATTGCAAACACCATAACCTTAAAAACTGTCCCAGTTCTTGCATGCAGTCAGCAGGGCTGTGCTCATTTGCATAGTGCTGACGGGCTGGCCCCAAAAAACTTATATATAGCGTGAAAATAAGAGTTGTTAACTATCAGCCATTAATATGAAAATTAATGGGGAGATTTTCAAAGGCGAGAACCGAGCGTTAAATTGGAAGGGAATGTGATCCTCTCCCTCCTCCCAGCTGGAAATTCAGTCCTCAAAAAACCTACAGCTCAGCCTGGAAAGTGTTTTTTGTCTCCTGGGGGGATTCCATGGGGGTTTGCAGGTGTCCTGCCATGACCTGTGTGTGGCAGACAACCCCCAGAGCTCCTCCTTTGCTGCAGTGGGCAAACATCTCTGCAAAGCCTTTGGGTGCCTGTCTGTGCTGGCCTTTGGTGTCACTGACACCCCAGTGCCTCTCCTGCTGGCACCAGCCAGGAGCCAGAGGGTATTTCTGGGTGCTGTCACCACACTGGTGGCATCCAGAGGCGCTCAGGAGGTTTCACTCTGTAACTCTGCCCTCGTGGGTTTATTTTTGTGTTTACAAGCGCATTCATCTATGGCCAAGGGCCTGGGAACCTGAGCAGAACTGGGCTGGAAAACAAGCCCAGCATCCCCCTGGGAGCTCAAGTGGGACAAGGCAGAGCCTTCAAAGGGGGTAAAAGTCGGTCCTGAGGTCACCAAAGTGCCTGATATGGGTGAGATGAGCAGGAAAAGCCACGGGCCCGGCGTGAGGCTTGAATGATATTTGATCCCCATTGTGGAGAATGTCATCATTACACAGAATGTCACCATTGCACAGAATGTGACCATTACATAATGGTCCCAGGGCCGTTCCCACAGCCCAGAAATAGAGATGAGGTACATGGAAACGTGTGGATGGGGGATGGAGCCACCAGGATCATCCCCCTCATCATCCTCACAGTTCCACCTCTTTAATTGCCTGGCAGCAGGGCTGGGACAGCCAGGAGAGGAATAAACCTCTGAGCCCAATGCCAGATTGGAGAATTGCTTTTTAATTACCCCTCATCATAAAATTCTGTGGGATTTGAAATAGAAGAAGACACAAAGGTTTGAATAACCAGGGCGCCCCTGGACTGGTTAAACTGGGACTGTTTAACAGCGAGGGCCCAGTGCTGCAGCACCAAACCCCAGCTCTGCCACAGGAAACCACTCAGAGGAAACTTTTCTCCCTTAAGCATCTTTTTAATATTGTCCCATAAATCTGCAGAGGCCCCTGACTTTCTGGGAAAGGGAGAGATTGGGCTGGAAGCACATTGGAACCGTGGCTGACTGAGCTCTTTGCTGTAACGCCGAAGGACCAAGAGATATTTTAAGTTTTTACGTGACAACCAAGCTTCTCGCCTCCCCCAAAAGCCAGGGTCAGGAGCTTTATGAGCAGCACGAGCCTGGCAGTAAAAGCAGCAAATACTGAAGGAATAAGAAAGAGAAGGGAGGGAGGATGTCTTAAAAAAATGCTGGGGCTGCTCTCCCAGTGCTGCTTTCCAGGGGCTGAGAGATTCAGCTGGGAAATGGGGTCAGGGATGGGGCAGCAAGCTGAGGGACAGGCAGGAAAACCCTCACTTGAGGAAAGGCCTCACCTGCAGCAGCTGGGGATGCTTTTTAGGAGGGTGAGAGCTCTGTGCTCCCCTTACCTTTGTACTGGGGTGTGAACTGCCTCATGGCCAGGGGCAGGGACTCGTAGAAGCTCAGCTCCTGCGACACCAGGGGCTTGCAGATGGTGTGCTCATCGTAGGTCAGCATGCTGGTGTGGCCTCCCACCTGGTGCACAAAGGGCTGCAGGAGCACAGCAGCCCTGGGCTCGGCAGGGCTCTGACCCACCATGGTGCCAGGCACAGCCCAGGGGGCTGCAGACCCCTCAGCAGCAGCAGCAGCAGCAGCAGCAGCACACGGAGCTGGCAAACAAAGGCTGGCACGGGCAGGGCTGGGCCAGTTTTCACCCACTCTGGTGTTTCCCCCACGCTGGGTTTTCCTCCACGCTGGCCTTTCACCAATGGAATCTGCAAAACAGAGGGAATGAAGGAATTAGAGGAGAAGGGTCACCCAAGCAGCTGGGTGGGATGAGATCTATCAGTGCCCGGGGGCTGGCACAGAGAGTCCAGGGAAGTCCCGGTTTTGATCTGCTGGGGACAAGAGACAGCGATCAGAGGAGCTGTGAATTAAAGCAATGACCTCATCAAGGCAGGGGATCAGGGATTAACACAGTGCACTGATGCTGTGGAACACCCCCAGTTTGTCCCACAGGCCATGCCAGAGTGGTGCCAGGCCTTCCCTTGGACATTCCCTGCACAGCAGAGTTGCTGCAAAGCCCCTGCAAGTCCCCAGGCACTCCCTTGCTCTCCAGCACTGCAGGAGGGGTGAGCAGCAATTCCTGCAGCTTCCAGAGCAAGCTCAGTTTGGGACATTGGCTGGCATTGAACACCTGAGCAGCAGCAGCAGCGTTCCCTTCCGAGGGGATGTGGATGTGCCACAGCAGCACCCACAGGGCTCACACCCAGCTCTCCTCCCTGCCCCCAGCCATGGATCCCTCCCTGATTCCAGAAATTCCTCCTTGATTCTCACAGCCACAAGTCTCAGCTCTAAAGCAGCAATGTAGGAAAACCACAGAGCACATCCGTGGTGCATCCCCAGCAGCAGCAACCACCAACACCTGCTCCTTCTCCATTCCTCACAGGAAACCCATGGACAAGTCCTGGAAATCAGGAATTGAATCCCACAAGCACCAAGGATGGCAAAAAGGAGCTGATGTTGGTGCTGGCTTCACACCAGAGATGGACACTCCACATCCCAGACTCACAGGAATAGGAAAAAATCATTAAAATCATCATTTGAGGAGGGGTCCATGGCAGCACAGGCCCTCTCTCCTGATTGCTCCTCCTTCAGCACAACCTGGGGAGCTTTGCAGCCCATTTTTGCCAGCAGAACCCCAGTGCAGGGGACAAGGATGCCTTTGCAAGATCCAGTTGTGCCAGGAAAGCCTCCAGGATGTGCTGCCAGCTGAGCAGCTCCACCCCTGCCAGCCCCACGGGACAGATGTGACCCGGGCAGCGCTGCCACCCCTCCTCGTGCAGCAGCCAGGGAACAGCAGAGGGGTGGTGGCACCTCCTGGAGGCACCTGGAGCTTCCCCAGGTGGGCAGAGCTCTGTGGGAAGGGCTTTCCCTGGAGCTGCACCATTCCCCAGGCTGCAGGAAGGATCCAGAGCTCAGCAGTTGGATCTTTCTGGGTCCTTTCCAACTCGGATATTCTGTGATGCTCAAACCTCCCCTGCCGGGATTAACCCCAAGGGAAAAGCACCTGGTGCAGGTTCCTGCTTTGTTCCCCACCTGGAGCAGGGGCATGGAGTGGGCTAAAGGCAGGGAAGAGCCACTCCCACCTCCCAAGGCTCCTTTATCTCCCCCAGGGTGGGGTTTTCCCCATTATTCCTCCTTGGAGAGGAATTCCTGCTCTACAATTACCTTTCCCCAAAGAACAAAGCCAGGCCCCCCAGCCGAGCGCTTTCCAGCCGGGAAGAAAGCGGCTCCTCGGAGCTTTCCTGGGCGGTAATAAAAGCATTTGGTTAAGTTGTGGCAATTTTTAAAGAGGATTTTCCGCCTCGGGAGCCGCAGGTTTGTTGTGGTTTGTTTTGTGTGGCTTTGCCCCCCTCCCTCCCTTTCCATCCCATCCTTAAAAAGAAGGAGAAAAGCCAAAAGCAAGCGGATTTGTCATAACACCTCTTTGGAGCAGGAAACAACATGACTTAAATCCTTTCTTGCTTCTGAGACAGTCCAAGGCTCAGACTCAGCTGCCACAACCCCCTGACAGCTCTGGCAACTTTAGCATTGCAAAGGGAGTTGGGGAAAAAACATCCACAATTTGATAAAGCTCCCGAATGTTTTCTCCCAAGCAAAACTCGGAGCAGGATTTGCAGTAGGAGAAGAAGGTTCTTTTCTGGGAGTTTCTGCTGGGAAGCAGCTCATCCATTCGGAGCAGATAAATGTTCCTGTGAACACTGAGCTCCCCTGAAACAAGACACTGGAAATAAATCACTTCCACTGGCTCAAGGTATCGCAAATGCCAGGAGATATTTACGTCACTAAAAATACACAGAATTACAGATAAATCCAGACCCTCCAAGAAAAACCAGAATCTGTCAGCGTTTTTCCTCCAGCTAAAGCAAAAGCAGCTCAGGTGCTGCAGGTGGAGGTGAGCCTGGAAATATCAGGGAAGGAGGATATGGAGAACATTCCTCTGCATAGAGAAGAAATATTCCATTCTCCAGCAAAGGGATGGGGCTGTGGAGAAACCAGGGAAGGTGTCCCTGCTCCTGGCAGAGCTGGAGCTGAATGAGTTCTGCCCCAGTGCTGGGGACAGCGCTGCTCCCCTGGCACTGTCACCTCCCACCCTGCTCCCAGGCAGGGCCAAATGTCACAGGAGTCTCAGTGAAACAGGTTGTTTATCCCAGCTCCAAACCGAGCCAAAAGGAACTGGGCAGCTTCAATTCTCTAATCTTTGAGTGGCACTTACCCCATTCATCCCATCCCATCCCATCCCATCCCATCCCATCCCATCCCATCCCATCCCATCCCATCCCATCCCAAACAGGACTTGTGTGGCCCCAGGGGAATGCACAGCCAGGCCAGAAACACCCAGGAATATTAAAATACAAAATCCCTCTAAAAACAAGAGCTCTGTGCTCTCAGTGTCACCCCTCGCGGCCACCTCCCTGCTCCTGGAGCATCCCAGAGCTCCAGAGCCGGGTTCCAAGCACTGCACTGCAGATTCTTTGCTTCATTAAAAGGTAAGAAAAGCACGTGGCCGAGATCTGTGTGTGCACAGCTCCCAGTGCTGGAGCTCACCTGGAGCCACAACCAGCCCTGCATGGAACCCCAGAGCTGGGACCCAGTGCCACCACAGACCCACCAGGGACCCAGTGCCACCACAGACCCACCAGGGACCCAGTGCCACCACAGGCACAGTAACACCAGAGAATCCAGTGCCATCATGGACACAGTGCCACCACAGGACCTGGTGCTACCACAGACACAGTAACACCACAGGATCTGGTGCCACCACAGGACCTGGTGCCACCACACTCTGCAGAAAAGGGCACAGGCTCCCTCACCCCCCTGCCCACTCTGCCTCCCACAGCACCTCCCTCCCCTCCTCCAGCCCAACACTTTCCAGCCATTCCACCATGGAGAACCGAGAGCCACCAGCTCCAGGGTCACTGCAGAGATTCCCTCCAGCCCCAAGTGCTGCCTGTTCCCGCTGCTCCCGTCCCTTCCCCCCTGCCAGAGCCTTCCTGCCAACCTCCCAGGCACCTCCAAAGCTGTGCCCATCCTGCCCCATCTCTCCTGCCCTGGCATCCAGCCCGGAGCTCACCTGGTGCTGCAGGTGCCCACCGGGGGCTGCCTGGGCCGGGCTTCTCGCTGCTTCTCGCTGCAGCTCCAGAGGGAGCAATGAGGGAACATTTGGGCATGGCCCGAGTGCGTCGGCGCTGGCAGGAGCCCGGAATGTCCAGCTGACATTCCAGGGGGCTGTGCTAGGGAGGGACAGCCTGGCTGGGACAGGCAACAGCCGCGTGTGAGGGAAAGGGAACGGAACGAGAGGAGCCGGCTGCACGCCCCGGCTGCCTTGGGAAATCGGCTCTCCAGGAAAACAACTGGGGAGTTGTTTTTGTCCATCTGTTTTCCACGGAACTCCCCCCTCAGCTCGGGTTTGTCACCTCCCTGCAGACTGGGCTGACACTGGGAGAGGGATGGAGCTTCCCAGAGCTCCCAAACCACGCAGGGAGATGCAGGAGGAGAGGCACAGGGGGTGACAGGGGCTGGGGGCCACCAAATCCCCTCTGTGCCAAAGGAAGGGTGTGGGCAAAAGGAGGGGAAGGCCGGGACTTGCCCAAAGCTGGGTAGGAGGTGAGTGGATCCAGAGCTCCAGCCCTGCCAACGGGAAAAGGGCCACGTCAGAGCTGGGAGCCGTGATGGGAATGGAAAAGTCCCAGGGAGCTTCCTGCCAGGGCCACACTGTCCCCTGCAGCCATCCTCAAGGACAGCCTGTCCTCCCCCTGTCCTGGACAGCGAGTGCCAGGGGCTCCTGCCAGCCCTGCACCCCAAAGAAATGGGATCCATGTGGTTTTTAGGGCATCACAAGGAGCAGGCAGCCTGGGCAGCACCCAGGACAAGGAGGGGACGGTGCCCATTCTCACCCCCAGGGCCCAGCAGGAACCTGGGGACTTCAGCACAGCCATGCCCAGGCCTGGGGCCCCCAGGGATGCCATGGGGCAAATGCTGGGGAGGAAAACCCCAGAGCTGGGATAAGGATTGGTGGGTGTGGAAATTCCCACTAAGTGGAGGGGAGAAAGCAGCTCAGGAGGGGCAGAGGGATCAAACTGCTGGTGAGGGCAGAGGCTGAGATGAAAGACAAGGATGAAAGAAAGACCCAGATTCCCAAGGCCTGGCTTCCCAGCTCCCCTGGATCTCCCCAGGAGAACTGGCCCCATGCCCTGACTCCGTGCCCATCAATAAGGTGCAGCATCAGCTGTCCTGTCAGCAGCAGGAAAAACATCCCGTGGGAAGGGCTTTAAATGGAAGCAGGAAAGGAAAAGATGAAGAGCTGGGTTCGTTTCAGAGCCCTCGTTGGGCCACGTTTGCCTCCCTGACAGGGAGGGGGTGCAGCAGCTCCAGTGGATGAGTTATTTATAGAAATGTGCTCCATTATAGAAATTTACTTTGCAGCAAAGTGGGAAAGGGCCCTCAGCAGCTCTGCTTGGCAGTGGGGCTGCGAGGGGAGCGGGGCAGCAAGGCAGAACCTGCTTTTCCCAGGAAAACTGCCAGGATTGCCAGTCCAGTCTGGCATGAACAGGGCTGCTCCAGCCTGGAGAGAGGAACAGGGGACACGGTGGGGTGACAGTCACAGCCCCTGGCTCATGGAATGGCTCCAACAGCACCATTTCCTAACCTGGAACCGATTCCAGCTGTAACTTAGCAACCTCACCTGGGTGAAAGCATCCCACCAGGAATGTGGGGCCTGAGGAGAACCAGCCTCGCACTGATTCCCTCCCTTTTGTTCCCAAATCTCAGCAACAACCGCAGGCAGAGAGGAGGCAGCTCCTGCTGGCCACAGAGCCTGCAGCCACCCCCTTCCTGTGCCACTGGAAATCCCCTTTGTCACCCAGAGCCACAGGATGAGATGAATTCATCCACACTGAGTCACCCCTTCCCACAGAAGTCACAGCAGTGAGGAACCACTCCTGCCACACCCCAGAGCTTGGGAGAAGCTGCAGCTCGACCTGATCCAAGCAAAAGCACTTGGGACAGTCTGTGATGTCTCAGCACAAATAAAAGTAGTAAATGATTGGTAATAAATTTATTTTTGATATTGATTTTTTTACAGAGCTAAATGGAACATAGAAACAGCACCAAGCCATTGAAGTTTGTTCTACAAAACCAGGTTTAATACAAAAAGGATGACAGCAATGCCTGACTCTGCGCTTCTGGACGGTTAAAAAAGCTCACCCAAACCCCAGCAAGAGTTTAAAAAGGTTTAAGAACAGAGGCACCGGTGTTTGAGAGCATTTCTCTGGCAGCAGTGATGATCTTTATACATGTGGGAAGAATCAAGGTTACCTTCATTCCCAACTTATTGCAGTGCAAGGGGGCTGGTCCTTGCCTAGGAGAGCTGTTGAGTCTCCTGCCCAAACACCCACACCCAAAACTTTGGGATAAGAGCCCCCTCCATGCAGGAAATTCCCCATTTAATGGGAAAGATCTCCTGGTTTTGCTCCTGGAGAGCTCAGCTCCACCCACGTGGGGAGAGGTGCAGACTCTGCCAGGTGAGCAGGCACAAGGAACACACCTGGAGTGGCATCACCTGCCCAGGGCTGTGCCCTGACAGGAGCAATCTGAGCATCCAGCCCCAGGATGTCCTCAAGGAGAGCAACATCCAGGGGCCACAGGGCTCAAATCACTGCTGCCTTCACTCTGCAACTCCTCCTGCCCGAGGCCAGCAAAGGATTTGGGTCCTGCAGCCTGAGGAGCTGCTGCAGAGCCCTGGGAGGAGCAGAGCAGCAGCTCCACTGCTGAGCCTGAACTGCCACACTCTGGTGCCATTTCCTGGGAAACAAACATTCCTTCACTGAACAGAAAGAGAAGCTGAAGTAACCAAGTGATTACAGACATGAGATACGATACAGCAGGACTGGGACAGAGCCAGGCTGCTCCTGGGACCCACAGGGGGCTGCAGGAGCAGCGACAATCCCAGAGCTGGCACCTCCCTGCTCTGACACAAACACAGACACTGCAGCTGCCCAGCTCAAACATGAGCCCTGAGGCCTCAGAGCCCTCCCAAAGCTGCTCTGGAACAGCCACGGAGCAGTCCTGGGCTGCAGCCACAGGAAAGCACCTTTAGAAGCTTCCTATATCCTTTATTTTTCCACCCAAATCCCCCCCCACACCCCCCCAAAATAAAAAAGCACACAGACTGCAGACTTAAAAGTGTAACAGGATCACAAACTGTCCTCCACCACCCCCAGCCCAGCCCAAACCACCAAGGCACGTCAGGCTCCCCCCTCTCTCCAAGCCCACCTTCACCCAATTCCCCTTCTCCCAATTTTGGATGGATGAAGCCAACACAAAACATTTTCCTTGCTGGGAAGCAGCAAGTGCTTCCTCATTGTCTTTGCACTGATAAAAACAAACAAAGACACGCCTGCAACTGCCACCCTAATGTTTCCATGGGAAATGTTCTCTTTCAGCACATTCCCTGATGGACTCTGCCACCAGTTGGCCTTTGCAGAATTGAGGTCAAATTTTGCACCCCCAGGCTCTGGCAGAGCCCCCCAACCCTCGAGAGGGGTGTGCAGTTATTCTTTGTAGGTTGTTTGCCACGGGAGCCAGGTCTCTGTGGAAGGCTCGCTTTGGTGCAATCCCAGCTTCCCACCAGCTCAAGCCCATCTTCTTTCCAAGCCAGTATTGCCCTGAACGTGTTTGTTTGGAGAGTTTCAGCAGCGAGAGCAAACAGAGCCTGGGCCAGGCCCTGCTCCTCCCACCACCAGCGAGGGCCCTGAGGCCTGCACAGGGTCCATGTCCCACCCTGCTGCTCCTCCTGCTGCCCTCAGTGCTCAGAATCCGACAGGTACGAGGGCTGAGTCCATCTCCACACCAGCATGTCCTCCCCTGCCACTCTGTGCGATTCTGTCTGGATCCGGGACTCGTTGGAAGCCAGGAAATCCACGGCTCTCTCCCACACCCGCTTCATCTTTTTTCTGCAAGGAACGGCAAGAAAATAAATGAGAATCTCCAGTTGGTTGTGCTTCCGTGCCTGCAGCAACCGGGCTTGTGGATTTGGCTGCCTGCTGTTCCCTGTGCAGGCAGAAAAGGGCATCAAACAAAACTCTGGTTTAGAGATTTCAGACCAGGGCATGGCCACACAAATCCTGCCTGGGGGGAAGATGAGAGGCTCCGTCAGTGCCCTGAATTTCTGCCTCAATTTGTGCTGCAAAGGGACTCGATGAGCAAATCACCCTCCCCTGTCCTGCACACAGAGATCTCAGCCAGGGGGACACCCTGATGTTCACCCCAGCTTTGGATCCAGCTGTCTTGAGCATCTCACACCAGGGATGGCTCAAATAGCTGCAGTCATCCCTTGCAGGAAAAGGAACCATTTCTGGTAGAGAGGGAGGATGTTTAACACTTCACAGGAGGACAAAGCAGCTCCATTTAACCAAAACACAAGAAATAACCCTGCAGAAATGGAGGGAAGCACGAGGATTCAGCCCTGCAGCCCCACCACCCACAAAGCAATGAGCTCAACCACAATTCCTGTCTGAGAAAGCCCCAAACCCAACCTGAGAAAACCCCAAACCCAATCATCTCACTCCAGCTCCCTTCCCAGCTGTGTAACCCAAACTGGCCCCTTTCCAGGCACACCATCACTGCAGAGGAGCCTCAATATCCTGTTCAGCTCATGGGAATTGTTCTAGTCTGGAGAGCCAGGCAGGATGGCTGGGAAAGGAGACAGCACCAGACACCCAGCAGATGAAGCAGAGGACACCTGAAGCTCCAGGTCCAAGCAAACCAAACCCAGGTACTGCTGGGCAGAGCAAGGACAACACACCTGTGGCACTGCACAAGTGACAACACACCTGTGGCACTGCACAAGTGACAACACACCTGTGGCCCTGCAGCAAGCAGCAGCCCTGGGGCTGGCACACTGATCTGCACCAGGTGCAGGCACAGCCTCAGCTGTGCCCAAGCCCTTCCCAACCCAAAGGCTCCGGCCTTGTCCTGCAGAGCAGCTGCAGGGATTGATTCTGGAGCTGTGCTGAGTCCCATCCTGCTGCTTCCAGCCCTCCTGGGTGCCCAGAGCAGCTCACCTGCTCTGAGGAGGGATCAGGCTGTCCCGCACGTGGAAGATGCCGACGTAGGGGTAACGCTCCAAGTTCCGCTCCCATTCCTTGTAGTGGTCCTGGACAACAGCTGGAGGACAGGAGGACACAGCAGTGAGGGCCCAACCCTGCAGGAGCACAGCAGGGCTCCCTGTGCTCCCACAGCTCCTACCTATGATCTTCTTCACCATCTCATACATGGCTTGCTCCTCCTCCTCCATCTTCCGCCAGCGATACCGGAGGTACAGCAGGATGCCCCAAAGGGTTATCAGACCTACGAGAATAAAACCAAAGGGGATTCAGGAACTGGCAGCTGTGTGCTTGCTGGATGCAGTTTTAGTTCTCACACTGTGACCCAGGCCTGCTTGGAACTGAATCCCAGTGATTACCTTTGCTCCCCAGAGCAGCTGCACCCCAAAAACCCCTTGGTGCTGCCCCCTCTGGGGCACAGGAGCACCTGTGGGTGTGGGATGAGGTGCTGGGAAAGCCTCAGCACAGAGCTGCCCTCAGGAAAGAAACCACAGGGCCCCAGGTCTGCAAATCCCAGAGGAGGCTTTGCCAGAGGCCTCCCCTACAAGGATCACTCTGCAAGACTGTCAGGTTTGGAGAGCTGCTGGATAGGGAAATAAAGCCTGGGACTCCAGTGGCAGCCCAAAATGCAGGAGATGAGTATGGAAGGTTTAGCACTTACAATGCCCCCAGCAGGACTTCAGTGTCTGCAATAAACAGAACTGTCCCTTGTCACCCCTCCCTGTCAGGTTGGATTAGAAACTCCTGCAGTCACACAGCTCTCGTTATCACCTCGCTGGGTAAAACCCCTGTCTCAGCTGAGGCGTGACAGACTATTCCAATAAAACCTCCAACCCTGAAATGCTACAAGTCATTATTAAAGAGGCTGGAGGACTTGGGAGCTTAGAGCAAGAAAAAAAGAAAAACTGACTCCTTAAGGTAAGTTAACACACTTATTCTGCAGCCCATAATAATTGGCACTTGAGGAATACCCAGAGAGCTCATCAGCTGCCTGATTTAAAGCAACTTTTAAGCACTCGCAGCACAAGAGGAGGGCTGTGGGTCTCCCGTGCTGCCAGAACAAAGGTTAATTAGACATTAACTCATCAGCAGATTTATTTCACCTCTGTTAGGTGTTCCCTATGGCTGAGCAATGTGTGATCACAGAGCTTCATCCCTGCAGCTGTGCCCCAAGAGCCACTTACTCCAGAAGAACAGGAACAGGTTCATGATGGCCGTGACCACGGCCCGGCGGAAGCGGCAGCCCAGCCCCATCTGGGGATGGGCAGATTCCAGGCAGAACACTTCCTCCACGCTGGAAACAGGCTCTGACAGGTCCCTGCCTTTCAACCTGATGGGAAGAGGAAGAAAATCTCATTGAAGAGAGCAGGCTGCAACTGCAGTCTTTAATCAAGGAGAACAACCAGACTGCGGATGCAGCTGCTCGCAGGAAATGCCCCCACACCAGGCACAGCCTCCTGCCAGAACATTGGGGGACTGGCTGCTTAGCCAGGGATGGATGTGGAAGGCAGCAGGGCTGCAGCTCCCACTGGGCACACTGAGTATCCCTGCACTGCCTCTCTGACAGCCCCTCTCAGCGTGCACAAGATTGAACTCAGAATTGGATTCCCACCTCCCAGCACAGAGATGGAAACGTTCCCCGAGTCAGAGCCACTGCTCAGCCCCAGCAGTGGGAGCTGGGGGACCCAGGCTGGGAGCAGGGGCAGCTCAAAGAGTGGCAGAGCAGCAGCACAGAGCCCTGCAGAGCCCTCAGCTCCCCTCCCTGGGTTTGCTGCTCCCAAACCCAGCACCAGCACAGAGCCCTGCAGAGCCCTCAGCTCCCCTCCCTGCAGCGCTGCTGCTCCCAAACCCAGGCTCACTCCACACTGAGCCATTCCCAGAGCACACAGGCACTGAGGGGTCCAAGGGACAGCCAGCAGATCCAGGGGAATGGAACAAAGGGGACTGTATTTTTTAAGCTCCTAATTATGCACAGCCCATTAGACAAAGGGGTTTGCTAATTTACAGGTGCTCAGCTCATGAACTGCAGAGAGCTTGGCTGGTTCTGGGTTCTGCAGGAGCTGCACACACACGGTTGTGTCCCACCCCCTGCTCTTATTTACAACCCAAATTCCACGGAAATATTTAGAACATGCAGCAGAATCACCCAGTGCAAAGCTCATTTTCAGTCCTGCATCTCAGACTAGCAACTAAAAAATAATCTCATGTAGTTAAAAATGCCAGGGGCAGGGTTTTGGGGATGCTGCCACGCTGGCTCTGGGGAAGCAGAGCTGTTTGGGGACCAGCCAGCAGAGCTGCTAATTAACAAAATAAAAAGTGGGAGGATATTGTATCCCACAGCCTCTGACTGGAAATGTGCTGGAGTATAAAAACATAAAATTTGAAAACTCTGCATCCCAGCCCACCTACAAATCCAGCCCTGCCCCTAAGGAAGCCGAGCCCCGTCCTGGGAATTTGCAGAGCCCAGGAATCAAAGCAGCAGATGCTGTCTGATCCCTGGATCACAGCAGCAGCTGCAGGAATATTTAAGAGCAAATGGAGCAGTGGGAATTCCAACAAGCTTGCCCACCAACCCCAGCACCACAACTGCTGCAATTCACTTAATCACAGACACATTTAGCAACGTGCAAATGCAAACAACTGTTAAGGCTTTAGAGTTAGAGCAGACTGGAGGCAGCCCACGCTCCCCAGAGGAAGGTGATGATGGCTGCTGACTCTGGGAAAAGTGACCTCGTGGGCAAGTTGAGGAAGAGCTGTAGGCACAGGACCATGGGCAGGACACCAGGAGCTCTCCACAGGAGGCACAACACAACCACTGATGGCCAAAGCAGCCCTGACCTCCCACCTCCCTCTCACCTGTGTCCCACAGCCTGGGCTGGGAATGAGACTCCTGGAGGAAGCCCAGCTCCCACCCTGCTGCAGGGCTGTACTTTTCCTTTGGATGTTTGCCCAGCAAGCTCAGCCACAGCCAATCCCTGCCCACCTGCTGCAGCCCAGCGAGCTCTGGGAGCTGAAGGGCACCACTGACCCTGTCAAATTCCACCCCAGCCAACACCCAGATGCCCAACTTTGACACAGTGGGCTCCTGCCCACCCAATTCCCAAATCCCTGCTGCTGTTCAGTATCAGCAGATCCCTAACTTTGACACAGGGGGTTTTTGCTCACCAAATTCCCAAATCCTTGTTGCTGTTCAGGATCCAGTGCAGGGCAGCTTCAAACTTCTGTGAGGAACTGCCAGTTACATTCTGTGCAAAGGAAGCCATAAGAAGATTAGCCTTCCATTCATTTAGAATACTGACCAACGTGATTTCATTACAGCAGTGGGAGAATTCATTCCATTGGGGCTGAACCCAGGTTAATTCTTATCAGGATTCTGCAAACTGGAGGGAGGAGAACTAAGCCTGAAGATCTGCCTGGCCTAAAGTCTTCTGACTGGGGAGATGATGCATGAAGCACTCAGTGAAATAACAACATCCCAGACTGTTAGGGCTAACCACTAAATACAACATAATCTTACTGACAGGTTACCAGGAAAGAAATGGAATGCTGGATCAGAGCAGTCTGTCTCCTGACACTCTGCAGTAGAGAAAAATCCTTCTTCTGCCCAGCCCTCAATCCAGGGAAATTTCTGGTTGCACAAGACTGATGGCTCCAGTGAAACAACAAACCATTAAGATTTACAGGGGGTGAAATCAGAGATGGAGGAGAAAATGATTTCAAAAGAACTGCTGAGAACAGGACTGGCCAAAGGGGAAGTGAGAGATATGGGAGAGAATCAAAGCAGGATGAGGAAGCAAAATGGATGGTGAATTGTTTTAGTGTCTATTATTTATTGCTTTATAAGAGACTAAGCACTGGGTTGTAACAAAGCTGCTCAGAGCCCACTCACCAGCACATGATCCTTCACCTCACTAACCCAAATGCATTTGCTTTTTAGGTTCTCAGGGTTTCCACATTCAAAATTACCTGGTAAGAAAAGTCAAATAAAAAAATCATGTTTGCAAAAAAAGCCTTTGAACAGCTCAGAACCAGGCTCTGAATGTACACCAAGAAATGCTCTCCCTTCCTATCAGCCCCAGCCCTGAGCAAAATGATTCCAGGATGAGATTTATATTGCAGGCAGATCAGATGACTATTAATAAAATGCTCAGCCACTGCACTGAGGTTGGATAAGGGCAATCAAACCTCTCACTTCAGAGCTGCTGCTGGATAAGGGCAATCAAAGCTGACACTTCAGAGCTGCTGAACACACAATGAGGGGGAAAGTATTGCTCCTGCCCCTTGCAGAGCACAGAACCACAGCTGCCACCAGGTAGCAGGTGTGGAGCTAATGATCAGTGTTCAAAATGCCTCCAAGGAGCTGAAATCACAGCTCTGCCTCCAACCCAGGCACAGAAATGCTGGCAAGGCACTAAATCCTCTAAATCTTGCCTCACCAAGTTGACTAAACAAATGTGCTAAGTAAATCTGGTGGAAATCCGAAGTCAGATTTGAAAAGATTTAGGAATTCTGTGCAGCTTCAGTATCCAAAGGTTTCAGCCTCGAGGTCTGAAATGCAGAAAATGGAACTGAAGCCCTTTTACTGATTACCACTGCTGTGGATCTTGCTGAACAAGTCCCTGCTCATACAGTGGATTTCTAGCAGCCTACCCCATCCCAAAATACCAGTGATGGGCTGGATTTACTCCTGGAGTAGGGACTGTGCTGGGTCAGCTCCTTGTCTCAGAGAGCCTGTCCCACTCTGTGGTGAGGAACAGGAGAGGCACTCGCACGTCTGCCGCCACATTTCAGCAGAAATGACAATTTCTTAGGACACTTCATGTGGAAGAACACATCAGTTTACACTCCTGTCTCTATCCTGAAGACAATTTCAAGCTGTTGGTAGAAAAGAATAACAAACCCAACCAATCCTACCTGAAACTCCCAACACTTCAAGTACAAACAAGGCCCTCTTACCCAGGCAGGGTGACAGGCGTGCATCAGCCAAGCACCACTCAGAACAAAAATAAACCCACCTTCCCCTGCTTTCCTATTCCCTCTCTGCCTCAGAAGTCCTCAAAGGGAACTGCCTGTTCCATAAACCCCTCCAGAGTGGGACAGGAGTGAGTAGGAGCTGGGAGAGGCAGCTCCTGCAGCTCAGCAGGGTGGGGATGTGCTGGCACTCACCTGCCTGCACGGACAGGTAATTGTAGAGCTCGTGCAGCATGGCCATCATCACGTCCTTGTGCTTGGCCTGGCAGAACTGCAGGGCACAGACAGGGACAGGGACACACATCAGCAGTGCCATGGGGACAGTGGGAGTGCAGCTCCAGCACCAGACACAACTACAGCACCGGAGTCTGGCTCAGTCCTGCACCACCAGCTCCAGGCACATCTCCTGAGCAGGGGAATGCTCCAGACACAACCTTCCACCTTCTGGAAGTCCCTGCCCAGAGGAACTGGGAGAATTTTAAGGTTCCTTCCAGTTCAAACCAGTCTGGGATTCTGTTCTGTGCCACCAACCCACAGCCCAGCCTGCAGCACCAGCCTCGGACCCACCACAGATGGATCCATCACCTCCAGAACTTCCCAGCACACAGAACTCAGAATCCAACACAAAACCTTCTCCCTCCTAATGTTTGTGTTAGAAGGGACTTTTAAAGCTCACCCAGTTCCACCCCTGACACCTTCCCCTATCCCAGGTTGCTCCAACCCTGTCCAACCTGGCCTTGGACGCTTCCAGGGATGGGGCAGCCACAGCTTCTCTGGGAATTCCATCCCAGCCCTTCCCCACCCTCCCAGGGAAGGATTTATTTCCAATATCCCATCCAAACCAGCACAGGGAATCCTGGAATGGTTTGGGTTGGAAGGGATCCTGCCACTATCCCAGGCTGCCACTTTATCCCCTATCCAACCTGGCCTTGGGCAGCCCCAGCTTTTCCAAAATTCCATCCTGACAGAGGGAGCAGAGCTGTGCAGGCACTCCACGGTGGAGCTCAGGGAATTAGCTGGATTAAATCTTGCACTGTTAAAGCTGAAAACAGCTTTATTGCAAACCAATAACACTGCTGGTACAACTGTTAAAAAAGAAATTGATTCACGTAATTGGGAATTTAAATTTTTATCTTTTGGAGTCTCAAGCACACTCCTAAATTCATCTGGCCCATTAATTTCAACTCATCAAGTCCCAATTTTTCTGTAAAACGACAGAACTAATCATTTTACACTGATACTGTTATGGGTGGAATAGACTACCTGGAATAATCACTGTTCTGTGAGAGCTCACAAGATTGAGAATAAATAAATAAATGCTTACATCATCCGTTCTTTTGTCACAATCCACAGGCAAGAGATTAACTAGGAAAGAGAAGAGGGTGAGTTAGCTGGCTGCAAACAAGAGCTTTGATCAAGAAAATAATTATCTTTTTAAAAGCAGGCTCAACTTAAAGCCTGGTTCTGCTATTGTTCATCTCCCCCTGGTAGCACCTGGAGATGCAAAAAGCCCCTCCAGGAGCTGCTTTGGGACCAGCTCTGAGGAAAAACACACCAATGATGGAGCTGATGGATGTGTTCAGCTGGGGAGTGAAAACTGGGGCTGGATGTTTTAACAGCTCCTGTTTGAGCAGCTTCACGGTGATCTTTACACTCCAGGGCTGCCTCTTGCTGCTCACCAGGGTCACCTGAAATATCCCAGCAGAGCCAGGGAGGGAAATGAACCCCCCTGGAGGGCTGATGGCAGCTCTGGGCTCTGCAGGGCCTGAACAGCTCCTGGCACCTGTGGCACAACTCAAACCTGGGCACCATTCCTGCCTCCAGAGCTCCTGTCACAGCTGGGACAGGACAATCCAGTGACAACGGGCAGCTTTATCCCAGCTTTGGGAATGCAGCAGCTTTCCCAGCCCACACCAAGGGCACAGAATGCCCAGGGTCAGGACCAAATCAGCCCCCAAACCCTTCTTTGTTCAGCTCAAAGCCTGAAATATCCCCATTTCCAGCTGTTCCAGCTGGGGAACTCTGCCTCAAAAACCCGTTGCTGGGGAAACCCCTTTTCATTTCTCATGGAAGAGAGAGACACACTCTGCCACACCTGAAGTGCTGAATTGATCTGCTGCACTTCCCCCTTGGACAGAATAAAGGCTGGGAAGGGCCATGCTGGCAGAGGGAACATCAAAAACACACCCCAGGTACTACACAGACCTCGTGTCACACCATAAAATCCATCCTTGGCCCAGCAGGAATGGCACTCCACATAAACCCCATGGTTCTGAGGGACTGAAGGCCAAACTCGTTTGGAAAAAGCAAAGTTTTGATTTGCTTCCCATGACTAACAAGGTTCCCCATAGGAAAGGAAAGATGGGAAAAGGGACAGAGATGTCAGGTTATGGCAATGAGAATGATAAATGTGATGGGGACGGAAGCAGTAAAGGGAAAGCAGGAAGACAGGTGAGGGATAAAGCTTAAACGAGAATTAAACCAGTGCACGTACACCTCTCCTCTCTCCCGTCCAGCCAGCCTGACCCAGCCATCTTCACCACGAGGATGCCCAGAAAAATCAGCAGCAGCACCAAGCTGGCGAAGCAGAGGAACTGGGACAGGTAATACTCCAGGCCTTTCCCCTTTCCCTCGGGCTGGGCCCGGGGCGCTGAGCGCAGCAGGGCTGTCCGCGGGGTCACTCCGTGCCCCCCATCGCTGGCTGCCCGCCACGGGAAGCGCCGGATCAGCCCCCCAGCCCTGCTGCCCGCGTCCCGCTCTGCCTCCTTGCCAACGCTGGCAGCCAGGTCCTCCTTCCCTCTCCTGAACAGGCTGCTGAACCTCCCTGGGGCCGCCGAGGAGCCCCACTGGGTGCTGGGGGTCACCTCGCTCTCCCGTCTCCACCAGCTGTTGGAGGAGAGCCCCCTCCTCTCGCCCGCCGTGTCCCAGGCAGCGCGGGAGCTCTGCGCCCCAATTCCCCCTCCCGATGTCCCCCAATGGCTCCTGGGTTTCTCCTCGCTGGGAAGGGGTTTGGAACCTGCCGAGGAGCCAATTCCCCCTCCCGATGTCCCCCAATGGCTCCTGGATTTCTCCTCGCTGGGAAGGGGCTTGGAGCCCGCCGAGGAGCCCCAGTAGGGTGTGGAGCTCAGCCCCCCAAGCCCATCCAACCCCGAGCCCGCCCGGCTGCCGAGCCCCCCACTCCTCTCTGCCGAGGGGCTCCACTGGGACGTGGAGTTCGAGCCCCGGAACCTGTCCAGGGTGGGTCTCAGGCCACTGCTGAGCCCCCCACTCCTCTCTGAGGCGCCCCACTGCACTGAGGAGCCCCGAAACCCATCCAGGGTGGTCCCCAGCCCCTGGCTGAGCCCCCGGCCGTGCTCTGTGACATCTCTGGATGTCTCCCAGTGGGACGCAGAGCTCAGCGCCCCGGCCCTTTCCGCCCCCAGACCCCCGCTCCTCTCTATGGACGTGTCCCACTGCGAGGGGGAGCTGAACCCCCCGTGCCCGGCCAGGGATGCCCCCAGCCCACCGCCACCTCTCTCCACAGTCGTTCCCCACTGCTCCGAAGGGCTCAGCCTCCCGAGGCTATCCCGGGAGGCGCCGCCCTCAACCCTGATGCCTCCGGCCCGGCCCGGCGGGGACCCCCGGGGGTCCCCCCAGGACTGCCCGCCGCTCTCCCCCGACGTCCCCCAGCGGGACGCGGGCGGCCGCCCCACTTCCTCCTCCTCTTCCTCCTCCTCGTCCTCCTCCTCACTCTCACGGGCGGCCGCGGCGGTGAAGCCGGAGCGCTGCCGCGAGGGCGAGGCCTGCGGCGGCCCTGCGGAGGAGCGGCCCGGGCTGGGCGGAGCGGTGCGGCCGCTGCGCCGGGCCGCCGCCACTTCGGCCCGCAGGCAGCCCAGCTTCTTGATGTAGACCTTGCGGGTGGTGGCGGTGATGGGCCCCGGGCGATAGCCAAGCGCCAGCAGCTCCTTGCGGAGCTCCGCGTCCGTCAGATCCGCCATGGCCGCGCTAGGCCCCGCCGGAAGCGCCCCGCGGGCGGGAAGCGACGCCGCCATCTTGGGAGGGGCCCCTGGCGCCGCCATGTTGGGAAGGGCACGGGGCGTGTGAGGAAAGGGCGCGGGGGCGGGCGCCATTTTGGGAAGGTCAAGGGGGTGCGGACTCCGTGTCTTGAGGGAGCAGCAGCTCCCGCTCCTCGCCTCTCCCTCAGGACCGGGGAAAAGCGGGAGAAATGGGGAAAGCAAAAGGCGAAAGCTGCCTCATCTGCGTGATGAGCCGATGTCGCTGATGGGTTGTCCCCCATCACTGTGTGGGGCAGCTCCTGCCTCGCTCACACTGATGTTCTGACACTTTTAGGGCCATTCTCCCAAAAAATGTCCCTCTCCCAACCACCTCCCACCCCCACACGCGTTTCCATCATCGCTGCCCAGTTGCTGAGCTCTGCCAGAACCTCAGGCAGGACCAGGATCCAGATCCATTAAATATTTCCTGGGAAGGGGGGGTCCCTCCACGCCCCACACCTAAAACAGCAAACCCAAGCGTTGACTTGTAAATTTATTTTGGCACAGCTGTGATGAACAGTAATTGCTTTTTCCTGCTGCCGCCGCTAAAGAAAGCGATGAAAGCGGCTGAAATACGGTGGCGTCATGTTGGAATTTAATTAAAGGTAATGGAGCAGCAGTGCTGAAGGTGCTGAGGGCTGGCTGTGTGCCACGGCAGGTGATGGATGTGTGACACTGGGGTGTGGGACACGCCGTGGTCCCTCAGGAATGGCACCTGTGGGGAGAAGGAGGTTTCTAGAGGAGTACGAAGCTGAAAGAGCTGAGCTGTGCCTTCCCGACATGAATCACAGAATTCCAGAGTCAGTGAGGCTGGGAAATCCTTCCAACACCATCGACCGACCCCTACCTGAGTGCCGTATCCAGATTTCCTTGGACACCCCAAGGATGGGGACTCCAAACCTCCCTGAGCAGCCCCTTGCAATGCTAACAACCATTTCCATGGAGAAATTTCTCCTGATGTCCAACCTGACCCTCCTCTGGCACAGCATGAGGATATATCTTCTTGTCCTGTCACTAATCCTTCTTTCAGGAACCCTCTTCCTTAGCAGGTCCCCAAAGCTCACCTCACTTTTCCCAATTTATCCAAGAAAGCAGCAACAAGATGCTGAGATTTGTTTGTCAGGTTGGCAACAGCAGATATATCCTCAGCAGAGGCCAGGGAGCCCATTAAAAGAGCAAACTCAGCTGTGCTGGGAAGTGTGAATGCGCTAAGCTGAGCTTCCTCAGTGCTCCTCTGCCAGCTCACGATGTGGAGAGGGGTCTAATGTAAATAAAAAATTCCAATTTGCTGCTATCACACGGATCCTGTGAGCTCACAGCTCTCACTTTGCAGAAGCTCTGCCTGGGCACGCAGCTGCGCGCTGGCTGAGCTGGTGCAAACCTGGGAATTACACGAACTCACCTTTTTCTGGAGAAAACAGCAACAAAAGCCCAAACCTATCCTTTCAATTTGTGATTCTGCCCATCATGGGAATTACCCCAGGCCCAGCAGCCTCATTGCACAATCTTTAGAGAGGAAGACATGGGGTTGGTGTTGGACAGCTGGAGGATGTGGGGAAAGCTGTGATTCCTCCTTAGAAGGAGGTTGGCAGCACCAAAGCTCAGCAGGATCAGATGCCTATTTTTGTGGAGAGAAATCCACGACCCCTTTCCCTTCTTCCCATGGGAGAATCCCTGCCTTCCCTGGAAGGCATTTGGCCCCCACAGGGAAGGCAGCAGGAACAGACATGTCAGACCCTGTATCCCCATGGGCAATCTTTGTTCCCATCCCCTGCCCACAGTGCCAATGCTGAATTTGACAGTGGATTTTCTATTTTTGCAGCCCCTCCATCATCCTCATAGCTCTGGGAGCACCGAGCAGTGCCGAGGCTGCAGATGGGCTCTGCAAAAAGCATTTCTTGGCTGGAAAGAGCCGGAGCTGGCTGTGGGAAGCTGGGACAGCATGGAGGGACAGCCTCCACCTTCCCTGCAAGCCCAGAAGCTGCCTCAGAGCTGCTGGCAGTGCCTCCCATGCCAGAGGAGCAGACGCGCCGCGCCGGCTGCTCTGGTTCTGGCAGCCTGGAGACAGGGCTGGTGTGAGCAGAGCCCTGGGAACGGATCCGTGCTGGAGCAGGGCATGGCTGCACCCCAAACCCCACAGCTGAACCTTCCACCACTGACTGATCCACTGGGGCTGCTGAAACCCCCGTCCGTGGCTGTTGGGTGCCAGCCCTGCACACGGCACCCGGGAAGTGTCAGGGCTTTCTTGGGAGCTGACGGTGCCCGTTTGTCACCCTGTCACTCACAGCCACAGCACAGGTGTGACCCAAGAGCCCTCTGCCTGCCCTGGGCCTGCTCAGTTCCTTAGCAAGTCAGAGGTGACTCCGTTCCCTCCTCTTTTCCCCAACTGTTGGGCTGCTCATCCCACCATGAAATTCTTGTTTGGTTTCTGATGGAGCAGATTCTTCCTGCCTGTCTGCAGGTGTGACCTGGGTGCTGCTGGCTGCCAAAGCACCTTCCAGGGCAGGGGGAAATGGAGATCTGTCCTGAAACCTGGAGTATCCTTCCTTCTTACTCAGAGCCAGAGCCCTGACAGCCTGGAGGGGGCTGGTTGGGGTCCCTCCATCTCTTTCCAGTGGAAATGTTTCTGCTTCTCCTGCTCAGGCCCCTAAGGGTGCAAGGAATTTACTCCCAAAAGTTGAAGGTGTACTTTGGTGCCTGTTTGGACACCACAGTTGGTGCTGCAGGACAGGACAGGGGTTCCTGTGGTCTCTGTCACAATCAGCCATTACATCCTGAGCTCATTTATAACTGGGACAACTGGGACCAGCCACTGGAAAATCCACGGCAGGGGTCAAAGCTGGCCCTTGCTGATGCAGCTTGTCTGGGTCCAAGGGTAGGAGTCCTGCTGGTGGATCTCCCTCTGGAATTTTCCACAGCGTCAGCCCCACCATCACCCCAGTGGGAAATGGTCCAGGGAGCAAATCCACAAGGCTCATGTTCACCTTCTTTCTTTCCATCACTTTCCTTCCTGCATGGCACAGAGGACGTGTTAGCCTAGAGAATGACGGGAGTGAAAGGGCTGGGAAAAGAGCTCGCTGCAGGGACAGCTCTGACCCACAGTGGAGCTTATGGAGGGGGTTTGGGGGCAGTTTTCCCTTTGAGGGGGAATTCTCCTTTGTTTTCACGTGGCAGAATCAAACCCGGAGTAAAGGTTTGGGTGTCTCTGAATTAACAAGGCAAGAGGTGCCCTCTGAAGCGAACACGACTCTGACCTTGCTGCACGTTGGTGTCAACGTGGCACAGCTCCTCCTGTGATTGCCATGCCAGCTCTTCCATGGATATCACCCCTCTGCAGATGGAGCTCCTGCAGCCCAGACTGCTCTCACTCCCAGCCTAATGGAATGTGTTATTTCCCATCTCCCTCCCACTCAGAGTCATTACAGAGCTTCCACAGCTCACACTGCCTCAGCATTACTGGGAGCTTCCTGGAGCTGATCAGTCCCTGGACAAGGAGCGTGCCTTTGGATCAAACATTAGAGCTGTAATCCACTGCACGCTGCCTGTTCCATTACCCATTGGGAGCTTTCTCCTCTCCCCAGGGCTGCTTGCAGCAGAGTGCTCCGAGGGGTGTTGTTCCAGCACAAACAGAGCTCTTGGAATGAGCTCAGCGAGAACAGAACTCCTGGTAGGTTGGGAGGATAAAATTGGATTGGAATTGGATATATTCACGTACATACCATTGATCTCATCCATCCGTACTTTACATATGTTGGATTTCCTGCTGCCAGCAGAGAGGAGTAGCTCTCAGATAAGCCAAAGGTATGGAAATGGAGAGCAGGATGTTCAAGTGGAATTAGGATTTCACCTTAGGGTGTGTTTGAGAGGCAGGAGAAAGGGCAGAGTGCAGTTCCCTCACACTGTGCCTGGCACAGCTGCTCCTCACTGTGCTGGTGGATTTACAGCACCGGGCTGATAGGAGGGGTTTGGACACAGGGAGGGGCTGCCCAGCAGGGCTCCTGCATTCTCCAGCAGTGTGGGAATGTTCCAGAGCACCCTCCTGGAGCAGGGAACTGAGTTAGGGACACACAGGTCCCCCCCTTGTGTCACCAGTTTGGCCAGGAGATCTGGTAAAGGTTTGCCTCAGTTTCCCTCATTGCTAAAAGGGAGGGCTAAGACTTAAACTCCTCAAAGATTGATTCCTCAGGCTCTGACACACACCTTCACAGAATCCCAGAGTCCTTGAGGTCAGAAAATCCCTCCAGGATCATCGAGTCCAACCTGTGCCTACTCTGAGCACTCAGTGCCACCTCCAGGTGACACCTCCAGGGATGGGCGCTCCAAACCCCCCTGGGCAGCCCCTTCCAGCCCTTTCCATGAGGAAATTCCTGCTGCTGTCCAACCTGAGCCTCCCCAGCCCGGCCTGAGGCCGTTCCCTCCCTCCTGTCCCTGTTCCCTGGGATAAGATCCCAAATCCCCCCGCTGTCCCCTCCTGGCAGGGAGTTGTGCAGAGCCAGAAATTCCCCCTGAGCCTCCTTTGCTCCAGGCTGAGCCCCTGCCCAGCTCCCTCAGGACTCTCAGAGCAGGGCTCAGGGAAACAGAGATATTCCCCAGAACCTGGAGCCTTTCGTATGTCTTCTTTCCCACCTTGGGCACTCCCCATCCGTTTCAGAGGCTTGCAGGACAGAAGACACAAATCCTCCTTTTAATTACGCTGCACATTTATTAAATCACCTCAGATTTTGTTAATCTCTCTCACGAATTTCGTTTACATAAGTGGAGTCTTTCAGCTTGAGCAGCTCCATCACTTTCTCTTCTGATCCTGCAGATATCAGTCAGCTAAACAGAAAAGAGAGAAAAGCACAAGTGTCCTTAAAGCTCTGGAAAGACTGAATGAACGCCAGATTTATGTGTTGTTTCCTCCTCCTCAGCTCCCCAGCTGAAAGCTCAGAGGCAAATTGGGA